CTGCTCTGAGTGGAGCAGGCTGGCGCTTCCGTTGAACCCAGGTACCTTTTTCTTTGGCTTCCTTCTTTTCCTGGTCATTTTCCTTCATATATTATAGGGAGCTATGTCTGCTCTTAGAATGCTTAATATGCTCAATATGCATATTAATTCTCTTGGCAAGAATCTTGCCCTTGTTTGTTTACAACTATGCCAACAGCATGCTGGGTAACATTGTAGACTCTTCCAGTTTTGCCATGGTAACACTTATGGGGCATTCCTTTCTGAATAGTACCCATTCCCTTGATGTCTACAATATCACCTTTCTAGTAGATTCACATGTATGTTGCCAAAGAAACCACTCCATATTTCTAAAAGGCCTAGAGCACGTATATCGGGAGCCTTTCCACTTTCCCTTTGTGTTCGTCATTTTGGTGAATTATTGGAAGGTGGTGTTCCAACCAAAAGGCCTTCTCAGCATTCTCAAATGTAATTTCTAGTCTGAAAGTATAGATCCTGTTGGGCCAGCAGATGGCATAGTGGCTAAAGCACCAGACTCCCACTTAGCCAACCACAGTTCAAGTCCCAGACCTGTTGGTTTGTTTCTCTATCTTTCTGATGTGATTGTGTGTATATAACAAATTAAATAATAAAATTAAATATATAATTCTTTAAAAAAAAAGTATTGGGGCTGGCAGATGGCATGGTGGTTAAAGCGGCTAGACTCCCACATTGCTGACCACAGTTCAAGTCCTAAATCTGGCAACTTATTTTCTCACTTTCCTTCTCTCTCTCTCTCTCTCTCTGATCAACTTCAAAGAATTTAAAAAAATGATAATAAAATTAAATTAAAAATAAATCTTTTTAAAAATTAATTAATTAATTATTTCCTTTTGTTATCATTATTATTATTATTATTTTTGGAGAGGTTTTTGCTATAGGGCGCATGCGCTCGCCAGACAGACAGAGACAGAGAGACAGAAAGCAAGAAATCACCCCCCAGGGGGGATGGCCATGCCGCAATCTCTTCTCCATTCTCCTCTCGGGATCTTGGGCATGCACGCACACACGCCCTGTGTGAGTTTTAAGCCACTGGGTCCGGGACACGAACCACAGTCAACTACATGGGAGTCCAGCGACATACTACTAGGTCCAGGACTCAAACCGCAGTCAGCCATGTGGGAATCCAGCACCTTTAACCACCACACCACTTGCTAGCCCCTAAAAAATAATTGAAAAAAAAAAAAAGATATAGATCCCACAGTGAAAACTGATTTGCTACTTTGGCTACAAACCTCTTCCAATTTTTCTCTTTGATGTGCCAGTCCAGCATGGCACCTTGCAACAGACCTAACCAAAAAGCATGGGGGGACATCAGACCATTTTGCAGCCTGCGCAGAAATCCCCATCTACATGCACATGGACATGAGGCAGAGCCAACCCAGCCTCGGGGGTTTCTCTCCTGAAGGAGACCACAATGACCAAATATTCTTAAATTCCTCTTTGGCAGACAATCAGTGGGGATTTTTCCATTAATATGGGAGCTCACGGACTCCAGGTGTTTGAAACAGGATATTTGAGCAGTGAGAACTACAGACCTCAGATTTTGTCAATAAATTGTGGTTATGGGTTTTAAGTGGCTAAAAGCTTTATTGACAAGATTGGCTCTCGGTTGTCATCAAATCCTGTCACCAGGTCTCTGCATAGATATTGCTATCCCCGAGAGAACTGGTTTCTTTTTTAAAAAAAATAAAATAAAACTTTCTCTTAACCTATCTATTTATTTAATTTGACCATAGAGGGACAGAGTCAGAGAGGGAGTGAGAAAAAATGCCACCAAGTCCGGGACTCAAATTGCGGTCGGCCACAACCATAGCACCCTTAACCACCATGCCACCTGCCAGCCCCAAGAACTGGGGTTTAGCGACAGTAATAAACTGGCTAAATGTCAGAGTTAGATGGTTAGGGCTAGGGCCTGGAATTGAACCCAAGTATACCTTACTTTTTCCCACTACACTATTCTAGCTCTGTTTTCCACTGCTCCGGTTGTTTCCAACCTTGGCCATTTCCTGTTTTCTAGGACATAGGACTCTTTGAAGAACGGGGTTTTCTGACACACAGACCTGTGAAAGCCACCTGTTTTCATGAAAGTCCCAGGGAACCTGTGGATGTGAACCGGACAGGTTTTTTTTTTTTGTTTGTTTGTTTGTTTTTTTTTTTTTTTT